GGGGGGGTTCTCTTACTGTTTGGATTGGGGTTTACCAAGCCCCTAGTTGGCGGGATCAGACCCCTCTCTGTCGTCAATACGGCCTTGATAATGGCCGAAAGACCGCTAGCCGCTTCGCTGTGGCCGATATTTGTTTTGACAGCACCAATCCACAGGGCTTCGGTGGACGGGTCGGCCGTTTTTGGGACGCCTTCCTTGTTCATTGCCTGCGAGACGGCGTGGACCTCGATCGGGTCGCCAACTGGCGTGCCTGTTCCGTGGCACTCGAAATACCCCGTGTAGCGCGGATCGAGATCACCGCCGCGCCGGTACGCGTGTTGGATGACCTGAACCTGGCCCTCTTTGTTGGGGTAGGTAATGCCCACATTGGGAACTTTGCCGTTCGAGTTTACCGCCGACGACCTTAGCACGCCACGGATGGGATCCCCGTCACGAAGGGCATCACTGAGACGCTTTAGATAGACGGCTCCAACGCCGTCCGCTCTGCCGTAGCCATTGGCTGTCGCATCGAAAGTGTGGCAGGTGGAATCCGGGGAGAGAACGCCCAGCTTCGCGGTGTTCATGTGCTGGTCGACGGTGAGTATCAAGTTGGTTCCACCCACAATGGCGCCGCTGCACTCGTTATTCCGGAGGGCGTTGCACGCGTTATGCATCGCATAGATGGAAGACGAACAGGCCGTGTTGACCGTTATGCTCGGCCCTGACAGGTTGAAGACGTGACTGATGCGGTTCGAGATGATGCCCGGGTCAACTCCCGTGGCGGCGTAGCTGTGACGGAAGTCCGGCTCCTTAAAGGACATTTGTTGGAAGTCGCTGGTGAAACTCCCGACGAACACGGCCGTCTTGGTGTTTTCGATCTGGCTCAGCGTAATGCCGCCGGATTCTAGAGACTCGTAGACGACCTCGAGGAGCTTTCGCTGCTGGGGGTCCATCCACATGGCCTCAATGGGTGAGATATTGAAAAGTGACGGGTCGAATTCTTGGAGACTGCTGTCCAGGAAATATCCGCCAGGGACATTAAATGAGCCAGGACGCTCGTTGTTCGGATGGAGGTGGGCATCGATGTTGAATCGTGAAGCCGGCACCTTGGGAGTCCTGCCGGTTCTCTTCTCCATTATCATGTCCCAGAACTGGGGAGGGGATGAAACATCTCCAGGGAGGCGACATCCTGCGTTTGCGACGATATGAAATTAGCCTCGGTACGGAGAGTGAAAGTGTAACTGTAATGATGCAGGGTTCGAGCTCGTCTCACCCATTCCAACCACAGCGATAGGCTCGAGCTGTTCGCTCAGGGGTTTCTCGGTGTATCCATTGGGGAAATTGGCTGCGTATTCTTCATCGCTCGCAATCGCCAGTGATTCCTGCCAGCCCACGCCGCCGCTGAGCGAGCTGGCTGAGGAGGACGATTGTATGGTGAGTCCCGGCATGTTGAAAGGTGAACTGTCGGGACAAAAGTTGAGGACTGATACAAGATGAGAGTTGTGAGAATGAACTCCTTTGTCGACTTTAGGTTTCCCTCGGCGAGCGACTGTTAAAGGTAATATGGGTAGTTCTTGATTCTGGTACTGGTTACTCAAGCAGTAAGCCTCAGGGACATGAGCGCTATCTGTTACATTCTTCTGTTGCATTCGGGCCGCACCGGCAACTTCCAAATAGGAAATACACCGGCATAGGAAGATCATCCCTCTTCCCCAAGAAGGGAACTCAGACCCGGTACGGTATGGGGTTACAGTAAATTGCTACTCGGGGCCCGCCCAGTCATGGCTTATCTCTCGGCCCGGTTCTTCTCTGCTTCAAGATAGCTGGCGGTGGATGCAGTTCAAGGGCTGGGAGGCAGACCACGTGCATGTGGTTACAACGATGCAATGTGTCTTCCCATTCTGGTTGACCCGTTGCTGTGCCAGGAGCAGGAGAGTACGCCTTCTGTCAAGGAAACAGCGACAGCTCGGAATAACACGACGAGGCTCAATTTCAAGAGGATATGTACATAGTATCATAGTGATGTACAGATATGCTTAGATGTGCTTTAAAAGGTTGCTGTTTGCCGGGGTGGAGGTTGAGTCCACAACGGAAAGCTGGTTATCAGATTCATGTATTGTTCTATTCTGAGAGAGTGTATCGTGCCGGCTTCCCTTTTCAACCCGTCACATGTTTCTCCCGTTCCCACAGAGCAGCGGAGACAGTCGCGCCAGGTCCAAGAATGATAATGCTAATCAAAAGTTGGGGAATCGTAGTGACAGTGGTTGTAGAGTTCTTGAAGATTGGCCGCGTGGTCATGAGATGATAGATCCACAAGGCACAGGATACATTGACGACAATCCAGTCGTATTGCAGGAAGAGCAAAGCACCTTGGTGAATGTTCTCGGAGCTTGCTGCAATGACGTGAGATGGGGAAGGGATAAAGAGCCTGCCAAACCCCACACTTGGGTCGCTAGAAACTAGACTGGTCACTATCGTGAAGAGATGGACACTTCCGCTGATGAACCCAACCAACAAGTACGAGTACCTTACTAAGCTGCTGGTCTCATCATTCTGGCCTTTTAACAGTTCAGTCGAGTTTCGGAGAGGGGCAAGTTTTGCCACTGTCGCAAGTAAGAGAGGCGAGAATTGCTGGGCGGCAGTGATAGCCTGGCGGCGAGAGTCGCTGGCAACGCAATATCCGAAGAGCATGGTCAAGACTGGTATAAAGCCCATAACTACCATGACAGGAATAAGGACCTCCGCTCTTCTTTTAGAGACTGGGCTGAGATTCCCCAAGTTGGAATTCGTGACATGCGTGTGCTTGTAAAGATACAGCGGAAAGAGGACGGCCGCGCCAAATAGGTTTGATAGGAGCGGCCAGAGAAAAAAGCTAGCTTCCCGTCAGCTCTCGCATCACCCCCCAAGCAGAAGAGCATAAGTAGTTATTTAGAAGTTTTAGTATCCGCTACTCACCGACTTGAAATCGCTCGACTCTGGCCTTTCCTGCTTGCTTCAATGAGAATCCACATCGCCGCTGCCATGAGAAACATCTGAAAGTTGAGCATAAACAGCCATGTGCCATTGTCCCTCCCATCAATTTGGTCGTCAAAAAAAGAAACAACAACGGCAATTGCAAAGTCGACGGGTGGAAAGCCAATGTAGGTCGTTCGGAGTGGGCGACCATCGGCAAATGTACCGGTCCACCCTGCTTTCAGAAGAGCCACCAAAGTGCCATTATAAGCCATCATGGGCCAGAGTAATACGAAACCCGTGACAGACAGGGCCAGGAAACATTTCTCGTTGATCCGTAGATTGGCCATACTGAACAGTAAAACAGCGGAACAGTGGAACTTGCCGCTTGTAGTTCGTACGGTAGTTGGTTAGGCTTAGACTTGAAGACTAGAGTAAAAGAAAACTGAAGAACCGGGCTGGGAAAAGGAAGCTGTCAAGAATTGAGGCTGGGAGTCCAACAACACCAAACCCTCGAACTATTCTTTTGGAATTGGCCTGTCTAGGAGACTCTAGGCAATTTGTTCGACCGTGTACAGAGTACGGAGTACACAGTATGTCGTCGAATCTAAGCCAGGGTCCCCACGCACAGGGCACGTTGTGGAGAACTCGGCGGCTCGGGCCGCTCGGGCCGAGATCAAGATGGGAAAGTCTCCGGGACTTGTCTCCACCCTTCTCCGCCTTCACTCCGGCCCATTGGCAATCCGTGCGCAATCCTGTCACTGCTACAACGTGGACGCCTACCCATCTTTTCTCACGCTCTCCCTCCATTTCGATTTGTACGGCGCACGGTCGTATCTCTTACGGTTGACCTCGACCAGTTGGTGAATGTGACAAACAACCGCAACATTACGACAAGATTGAGGGCACAGAATCATGCAAGCACAGAACGACGAATACGACGTGCTGATCGTCGGCGCAGGTACGAAGTTCCTTTGCACCCCGTCTAGAATGTGGCCCATCTGATGAATACCTACGACTCAGGATGGTACGGTCTCATTGCCGCTTATACGTACCTGAAACTGGCACCCGAGACAAAACTGCTTATCCTTGACGATGGCGATACTCTCGGAGGCGTCTGGAATTCAGAACGGATCTATCCAAATCTCTTCGCCCAGGTCGGCCACGGGCTTTTCGAGTACAGCTTCTACCCTATGAAAAAAGAGGGCCTCACGAAAGACCGGTACATATCCGCCAAGACGATCCACGATTATCTCCAGTCATTTGCCAAGGATTATGATCTCGTCCGGCGCATTCGATGTCGCACCAAGGTCACCAGCGCCCGGAGGTTTGGGTCAAAGTGGATTCTGACGCTGAATGATGACGAGGCCTGCCAAGTCACCGGGTCGAAGCTCATCGCAGCGACTGGGGTGACTAGTGGACCTCACGTGCCGGATTTCCCGAGAGACGGCTTCGTGAAGCCCATCATTCATTCAGGAGAGATTGGATCTCATATTGAGACCCTACTGGGGCCCGAGGTCCAGCGGGCCACTGTCCTCGGCGCGGCCAAGTCCGCTTATGACACTGTTTTCTTTTTGCTAAAAGCTGGAAAGAAGGTCGACTGGATTATTCGCGATGACGGCTCAGGGGTAAGTACTGCACGTGATTTATGGTTGAGATGTACTATTGCTTCTTTTTCCCTCTTTCCCTGCCTTAATTTTCATCGACAGCAGTGCCTTAACTGACCTAGAGGCCTTCTACTCTCAGCCCTTGGCGATCATGCCGCCCAGGCTAGGTGGTCTTCTAAACACAGTCGACGTGATGGGTACCCGGGCTCTTGCATCCTTCAGTCCCGCTATTCTGAACACGTCAGGGATATGGTATCAGCTTCTGCAGAAAACAGCGGTTGGGAACTATCTGACCAAGGTTTTCTGGAGGTCTGTCTCATGGATGGCAGAGCAGCATGCTGGGTATTCTAAAAATCCCAATACCGAAAAGCTTCAACCAATTCCGCGTGGATATGGGTAAGCAATGTCACCCACAGGACGGGAAATTATCTTTCTAACACACAGACCAGCGTCTTCTGGGCCAACGCCGGTCTCGGCCTAGCATCAGCGCCAGACTACTGGAAGGTCATCCATGCCGGCGACCTCACCGTGCACCGGACGGAGATCACGGGCTTTTCGGACGGCAACAAAGTCCATTTGAAGAACGGGGAAACCCTAGAAACGGACCACGTAACTCTCTGCACTGGCTGGACGGATAACCTCGGCATGTTCGACGAAGCTACCCGTGCGGAATACGGGCTTCCGTCACAGGCAGACTGGTCGGAGGAGTGGGCCAAGCTGGACGCCGCTGCAGACGAGGTTGTCCTGGAGAAGCTTCCTTTCCTGAGGCGGAATTCTCCGAACACAAGAGCGTCTTCGTCTCACATGAGGCCTTGGCGTCTTTACCGTCGACTCGTCTCGCCCAGGATGGCGGCCAAGGGGGATCGCTCCGCCTTCTTCCCCGGCCAGATTCACAGTGTTTATACCCCGCTGGTGGCGGAGATGCAGGCTCTCTGGGGCGTAGCGTACCTCCTCGGGAGGCTTGATCTTCCGACTGAAGTGGAAATGAAGAAGGAAGTTGCCGTGTGGTGTGCGTGGACCAAACGACGGTATGCCTATCCATAATCCCTTTTGGTAAAGAAGCGGCTGTCTAACATCTCTACGACACATGCAGGTATCTGGAGCAAGGTCGCAGACATCCATATTCTATATACGACTACTTGGCTGTAAGCTCCGTGTCCCCTTATGTTGATTTACGATTCTTTTGGGCACGAGAGCTAATAGAAAATCGGAATATAGTACGTTGACACTTTGGCCCGCGATATGGGCCTCAATACGAGCCGGAAGTCCAACATGTTTAGTGAGATGTTTCTTCCATACCGGCCTCGCGACTGGCGAGGGCTTATCTCCGAGTTTCTTCAAGCAGAGAAGATGCGCCGGGGCAGAGAGAAGGGCTTGGAAGGCAAATCTGGTGATGACTCGGACACGACGTGAGCTGGGCCTGTTGATGTTGGAGTTGGGGAATTGTCGTATGGTAGATTATGACAGATGATTATTAGACTTCATGTTGTCAACAAATGAAGGGATCTTGTATAGTCGCGGTGTTCGTGACACTTGAGAATACATGTAGTATATGGAAGAAAATGCTGGTCAAGTCACCATTTCCTCCAATGTGGCCATGAACGCTTTTCTCTAATTTCAAAACTATTTGATGCCGCTTGGCTTTTTCCAGACATGAAGTTGCATATATCTCAACTCCGTACTTGATTGAAATGATCCTCCCTTTGGAAAGTTGACAAACCTCGAGCACGTATATTGTTCTTGACTAACTACTGTTATGCACGGAGTTGGGCAATGGGAGATAAAGCTGAATAATAGTCTAATGACACTGAATTGCAATGACTTCTGCTTATAGATCTGTATCAGACTGTTCCTACGGCTACTAACTAGAAGCATCCGTCTTCACAGCCTAATGGCCCCCTACTGTGCCCATCATTCAACCTCACGTGGACCACCATCACGGCCACTCGTACGACTCTTCACTTAGTCCATATCTGTGCTGGGAATGACCTTTGAGACGCGACTCTCGACGGTGAGGCCAGTCTCGCCCAAGATGAACCTCCCATTGCCAACCCAATGGGCGTTCTCGAGGACCTTGAGGTCCGTATTGCCCACCTCAAAGGTATGAGCAGTGGCTGAGGGGGAAGAAGCCCGTTAGTAAGTCTCGACATGGTCACCTTGGACACTGGGAGCGATTTACGTACTTGAGCTTCCAAAGGGAATAGTCTTGGCCTCGGGGCTATAAGCAAAGACCTTGCCAACGCCCTCGTCGACTCTCACAATGCCGCCATAGTAAAAGGAGAAGGGGACGCCTTCCTTGGTCCTGTTTCACAGAATCAGCGACGAGAGATCAGATCGATGTGGGGGGGAAAGGGAGGACGGTGCGCGTACTTGGCAATGCCCTTGAAGTTGACGCGCGCGTGGCTCTTGTCCGGGTCAAAGTAGAGCCAATCACCGCCAAACACGACACTGGCATCAATCTCGGGCTTGAAACCCGGTACGCTCTTGATGGTACCGGTTGGGGTTTGCTTTGGCGCTTGTTAGCAGCACGAGGGCACTGCAAGTGGAACTCGCTGGTAGCAGGGTGTATGAGTATCTCACAAAGTGAAGGAACTGAGAACCGGTTGACACGTCGCCTGCGAGCATGACATATGTCAGGGGGTCGTGAAAGTCATCATTGATATCGATTATGCGGGCAGCAGAGTGTCAAGGCTTACCAACGGGATTGCCCTCTCCAACATCGACCTTTTTTGAGTAGAAATGGTCAGCGAAGAACTTATTCCGATATCAAATGGAAGAACTTCACGTACCTTGAATATCAATGCTGGCTGCAGACTCGGGAAGCCTGTTGGTCCGGACGTCATTTTGAAAATAGGGGGGCAAAAAGTCCTAGTAAATTTAAGAGGATATAACGAAAGGCATTTGATTCCATAAGACAGGTAACAGCATCCTGATGTTTGAACGAGACAGTGGACAGGGGCGTATAGTGATAACTAAAGTATCTCGAGGTCTAAGGTGCTTGTATCCCGACCGGACTCCCCTCATTTCTCTCCCCCCGTCCCTAGCCCGAGTCGGATCCGGACCCCGGACACCGGGCCGAGTCCCAATTAGGCAGGAGACCGACTATATGGGAACCTGGACGGGAAACCCAAAAGCGACATTCAGGCAATGGGACGCAGGATCAATCATTGAACCCTCATTTCCATCGTGCTACCTGCTGTTAGACCCAGACGTTATGCCCTGCTGGTGTTTTTGAGGGTATACCGTATACTCACCGGGTTATACGTACAATTTCACCATTTCTTTGGAAGATTCGCAGCGCCAGCCCTAGGGACCAGACAACACCTCAAACGCATAATCATGGATTCGCCTGACATGTCCGGAAAACGACCATTCAGAGTGATCGTGGTTGGCGCCGGCATAGGCGGGCTTACGCTGTCCAACGCACTTCAACGAGCAGGCATCGACCACGTCGTCCTGGAGAAGCACAGGCAGGTCGTGTACCCTTCGGGTGCGAGTATCGGGGTATGGCCAAACGGATCTCGTCTCCTCTCCCAGCTGGGCTGTCTTGAATTGGCCAAGGGAGTGTGCGCTCCGATGAAGACAAGCCTCAACCGCACCTCCGACGGAAAGGTCATAACCGTCAGCAAGCTTTTCGACGAGATTATCAAAAGGTCTTTATTTGGATGAGACGTTCAGTTTGAAAACTTCCTAATACGCGTGCTGCTTATGCTGCATATGCGGCTAACCTTTGTTCTTTTCCACCGCAGGCACGGATACGAGTATCTTCTACTGGAGAGACAGGAGTTCGTCAGGGCGCTTTACGACGGGTTGCCGAGCAAGGAGCCGGTCAAGACGGAGTGTGCTGTGACGGACATTATAGAGTCAGAGCACGGCGTCCGAGTCCTTCTGGACAATGGGTCTTCCGAGGACGGCGACATTGTTGTTGGAAGCGATGGAGTTGCCAGTTCTGTTCGTCGGATGATGTGGGACAAGGCCAACAGCGTTGCCCCAAACTCGATAGGGACTGCAGAGATGAGAGGTACGCATCCCCTTTTTCGCCCTCAACTGTCTGTAAATGTTTCTGCCGCTGATTCTCGGCCTGCATCCAAACGGATAGCACTCAAAACACGCTACAAATGCTTAGTAGGGCTTAGTCCCTCTATCCCGGGGTTCCCAACGGGAATCATGGCCGTGGTACATCACGATGGATTCAGTTTCTTGTCAGTGACGGTTATAACAACCAGTATATTTTGTCAAGGGAAGGAAAGCTGACATGTTATGGGAATAGGCTCTTCACCCAGCCCGAAAAGACGTTCTTCTTCGTGTTTATCCACCTGGACACAACTTACTACTGGCCATTGTTTCCGAAATACACGAAACAGGACGCTGAGCGGGAGGCTTCGAAGCTCCTCAATTTTCCAGTACACGACGGCGTAGTCTTTGGCGACATATGGGAGAAGAGGCTCCGCGGGGAGTTGGTCAACATCGAAGAAGGCATCGCTGGGCGCTGGCACTCGGGGCGTATTGTGCTACTCGGGGACGCGGTGCACAAGGTATGTGAAGCCGGATGTCATGCAGCAAAGTATAAGTTGAGATCAATGATGCTAATGTCTGTCGATACATTATTTGATCCAACAGTTCACCCCCAACACGGCGTTTGGCGGAAACTCCGCAATGGACTCCGCTGCGACCTTGGCCAACCTCCTGCGGCAGAAGCTCGTCAACTCCCCAGACGGCCTGTCGTCGCACCCCGGCCAGTCTGAGCTCTCTGCTATCTTCCAGTCGTACCAGGAGAAGCGTCAGTCCCCTGTGCGGTACATCGGCTGGTTCAGCACACTCATGACAAGAGTCGCGGCTTGCGAGAATGCTCTTTTTAAGTTTATGGCGATTCGCGTGTTTCCACTAGCCAGTGACGCTTTAGTGGCCGACATGTTCGCCTGGCAGGTCAAGAGAGGGGTCAAGTTGGACTACGTGCCGCTTGTCGATGCGCCGCGGGGAACCGTGAAGTTTGATGATGACAGGGGCGAGGAATCGGAGTTCATGAGCAAGGACACTATGTTTTGGTTCACGGGAATGGCCGTGGTATGTTGGGCCGTGTCCATGTTTGTTCTTTCTCGTGAGAAAGCACAGCTCTGAGGCGGTTGATATTTCACATCCCCCATGGCCTACGCAAATACGGCGCAGCGTGCTCAAGTTTGTATGTGTATAATTCAGATTCATGGATAATTACAACGGCAACATCTTCAACTCGTGTGACCACTGGCTGACATGCACCATTGGCCATATGCAGTCTTGGTAAAGCCAAGTCCAAATGTGTTCATCTCCTGCAGGTCGGGCCGGATACGTTTTGGTAATTGCCGCAGCCGTGAGCCCATTCCCGTCAGCGAAGAGTGGTTCACTGACTAATGATGGCTGTTTCCTATAAAAGCCTACAATCAGACATCACGTAGAACACATATGTACGGCGCACGGGGTGTAGCATGGACCTATATTGGATATCTCAGGGGTAGATCAACATACCAGCACAGCACAGGGCAACCCTCTGCATCCCAATCCCATCATGCCATTCACAAACAAGGTATTCACCGTCACCGGCGCGGCGTCCGGAATAGGACGAGCGACAGCGATGCTCCTTTCCCGCCGGGGCGCCCTCCTCTCACTCGCCGACATAAATGCAACAGCACTAGCCGAAGTCGCGGCCCAGGCCGAGACCGAGCGGGAACGAGCAGAACATCATACACCTACAACCACCGAACAAGTTGCGCAAGTGCAGCCTGTTTTCACCTCCGTGGTGGATGTTCGGTCGGCCGAGGAATGCAACGCCTGGATAGCAGCAACCGTATCCCATTTCAGACAACCCCTCTCCGGGGCGGCGAATCTGGCCGGGGTCTTCGGCCCGAGCATCGGCCGAGCGCCCGGGGCGGTGCGGAACCTCGACAACGACGAGTTCGCCTGGGTCATGGACGTCAATGTCAAGGGGACGCTCAACTGCATGCGTGCCCAGCTGGCCCACATGCAGACGCGCGAAGGTGCACGCGGCCGCCACCACGGGGGTGCCATCGTGAACGCTTCCAGTGTGGCCGGCATCAGCGGCGGGCCCCTGAATGGTCCGTATGTCGCCAGCAAGCATGCCATCGTGGGGTTGACGCGCACGGCGGCCAAGGAGGAAGGGGAACGCGGCATTCGGGTTAATGCTGTGGCGCCGGGTATTATTGCCACCCCCATGATTACACAGATCGAGGCGGCCGTGGGTAGCAAGGATCTCGTCGCGCAAGGTGATCCCGGAGTCCTTGGGCGCAAGGGAGAAGCTTCTGAGGTGGCCGAGGGGATTGTGTTTCTGCTGGGGCCGCAGAGTAGGTTCATTACTGGCGTTGTGCTGCCAATTGACGGTGGGTGGGCTTGTTAACTACACTAGCAGCCTCTCCATCAGGGGAGAAGGATAGAGATGGGACTCATGGGAGCGTCTTGACATGTTATGTGGCCATCTGCGATAGGAGTATTGATCAATATTCTTATGGACTATACGGACGACATTCGAGGACGTCAAGTGAAGTACAACAAGGAAGGTTAGACAGTAGTAATGGTGATAACGCCCCATGACGCCGTATATATTCATGTATACTCCACTGTCAGCATAAAGGACCAGACGCTTTCGTATCCCACTGCACATCTCAGTTCGCCAGAAACATGGCATACTTCTTAAACTCCGGGTCCTTCAAGAAGACGTCCATCTCCTCCTCAAACAAGTTCAACAAAAACTCGACACCGCCCGCAGCCAGCTTCGGAAGCACGAGACAGAGCCGAGTCATACGGTTGAAGGAATACATGGGCATCCTCAACGCCTCGACGAAACCCCCGTTGCCAAACAGCTCGTCTCCAAAACTCAACAAGTTCGTGGGGTACGTAAGCAGCGGCGACACGAGCAGCGTAGTGCTGTCCAGGCTCGCGTTCTGCAGAGACAGGTGGGCAAAGTCCGGCACGCTCCTGGCCAGGGCGTACGCATCCAGCAGATTCGCCGTGGTTACCGAGTTGGCGCCGTCGCGGATCGTGCGCGCCACCGCGGGCAGGCCGGTCTCCGGGGACGTCAGGGCGGAAAGGGGCATGGCCGACAGGTTGATGCAGGTGAGGTTTCCCATGTAGTCGGGGGGAAGCGACGAGGAGAAATAGGGCCGCCCGTCTACCGTGACGGCCAGGATGGACAGGGCGTCCGGGTTCGTGATGTCGCCGGTAGTTTTCCCGCTCTGCCGTGCGGCCTTGGCCCGAGCCTTGAGCACGCATCGCCATATCAGGGCCACTATGGCGTCGGTTCCGGAGATCCCGTCGCCGCCCTTTGCGCATTCCCGTTGCAGGGCGACGAATTTGCGCGGCGGGACGTAGAAGATGGCCGACTTGAGCGTCCGGGTCTCTTCAGGCTGTGGCTCTTCTTTTGCGTCTCCGTTTACTTTCTCCACCGGTGCGGGCGCGGCATCGTCTTCTTCCGCGGAATCCGGGGTTGGTGTGGAGGCTGACGGGGGTGCTAGGCCTAGTAACCGCCAATTGCCCGGATCGATTTCCTCGACCGACTTTCCGGTTTGTTCTTTCGCCCATGTCTTGTCCAGCAAGCTGCGGTCCATGCTGGCTGGTCCTGGCGGCACCGGAGTTGGCAGCTCTCCAGGCCCCGGGAACTGCAAGGCCCGACAATGCTCGGCCCACAAGGTGAAAATGCGAACTCCGCCAATGCCGTCGGTTGCTTTATGATACATGCCCGCCGTCAGGAGACAAGCGCCGGGGATGAAGTTGGCCTGGGCCACGAGGACTTCGGGCCCCTTGTTGATATCAGGCATAAAGGGGGCCCATATCAACGACTCGTCCGGGAACGAGTCGGTGGGGAAGGCCTCGTCTTTCAGCTCGTCGTACGTCTTTGTCGTCTTGAGCTCGTTGAACTTGATCTGATAGGGCCGCGGCCCATGGCTGTCCACCGGGCTGTAGCGAATCTCGAGCTGCCCCGGCCGATAGCCAGGGGTGCCGGGCGTCTGCGGCCATACTCTGCCAGCCACCCAGGGCAACTGGACAAAGGTTCTGTGGAGGCCTTCCTGAAGGAGTTGAAACGCCTGCTTTGGGCTCACGCCGGGTTGGAGGGGGAGGTAGGACAAGGAGCAGGAGTAGTTTCCGGGCGGTGCATGGTCTAGAGGTGTAAGTGGGATATGCAACTCTGCCGGTACGGAACCCATGGTCGACAGTTGAGTGGACAGGACAGTTCGTCTGTGCGCTTTCACCACGGTGGGAGCGAAAGTTGAGAATGGAACATGAATGAATCGAAAAGGTTGTCGGTGAATTCAAGGAGCGGGCGAGGTTTCAATAGGAAATGGATCAATGATGGCTGTGTGGAATATGGTATGGATGGTGTTGTCGGCTCCGGAGCACGTGAACGTCGCCGGAGACGGACCCACAACGGAAGCCGGAGCGGGATATCCGAATTAGGAAATAGCCGGTGTAGCCCGGTGTAGGAACCGAGTAGGACCGACAGTCCAGTGACACCGCCGATGCACCGTGACACACAGCAGACATCCCAGGAGACGCCTAAGCATAGATACATGTAGGCTCAGATGTCTGTATTTACTGATTCTATTCTTCCTGTCCCATAACTGTAAGCCGTAAGCCGCGCCCTAGGCTTCTCCTCAGTACAAGCTTTCGATTCAACACACCTGGCTCCACGGTCTACCCCCCGCCCAATCTTCACTGCCCACGATGACCGCGAGTCAAGACTCACATGGCGGGACGAATGGACTCAACGGCCACGCCAACGGCCACGCCAACGGCCACGCCAACGGCCACGCCAACGGCCACGCCAACGGCCGCGTCAACGGGGCCAACGGGGCCAACGGTCACACACCACCTTCGACCAAGCCCGTCGCCATCATTGGCATGAGCTGTCGCTTTCCGGGAGATGCCACCAGCCCCGAGAAACTATGGGAATTGGTCTCCGAGGGTCGTAGTGCGTGGTCGGAGATTCCAAAGAGTCGCTTCAACCAAGAGGCTTTCTTTCATCCTCAAGACTCCAACCTTGGAACTGTAAGGACATGAAAGATCTGACAGTCCTCCTCCTCCTAACCCTCACCCACAGGCACTGATGCTTCCATGTTCTCCATCTAGTCCAACGTCAGGGGTGGGCATTTCCTGACAGAAGATGTCTCCCTCTTCGACGCCTCCTTCTTCAACTTCTCGGCCGAAGTAGCTGCCAGCATGGACCCCCAGTACCGGTTGCAGCTCGAGTCGACCTTCGAGGCCATGGAGAGCGCCGGCGTCACCATCGCCGACATGGCCGGGACCCAGACGTCCGTGTTCGCGGGCGCCTTCTTCCGAGACTACCACGACGTCCTGATGCGGGACCCCGAGACGCTTCCCCGTTACTTCATGACAGGCAACGGCGCCGCCATGGTCTCGAATCGTCTCTCCCACTTTTTCGACCTGAGGGGTGCCAGTGCCACTATAGACACCGGTTGTTCCACCGGCCTGACAGCTCTCCACCTGGCGTGCCAGAGCCTGCAGACCGGCGAGGCGGCCATGTCGGTCGTTGGCGGCGTCAACGTCATGATTAACCCGGACATGTTCGTGTCCATGTCGAACCTGGGCTTGCTCGGACCCGACGGTCGCTCCTATACATTCGACCATCGGGGTAAAGGGTATGGGCGTGGCGAAGGTGTCGCCACTCTGCTCATCAAACCGCTCGAAGACGCTCTTCGAGATGGGAATCCCATACGAGCCGTTATCCGTACCACCGCTCTGAACCAGGACGGCAAGACGCCCACCATGACGTCGCCGTCTCCGGAAGCTCAGCAGGAGCTGATCCGCACCTGCTACCTCAACGCCGGCCTCGATCCTCTCGAGACGGCCTACGTCGAAGCTCACGGAACTGGTACCAGGACCGGTGATCCCATCGAGGCCGGCGCCATCGGCGAGGTCCTGGGCAAGGGACGTCCCGCAGACAAGCCTCTCTTGATAGGATCCATCAAGTCCAACATCGGCCATCTCGAGGCGGCTTCCGGCCTCGCCGCCATCATCAAAGTGGCCCTGGCCTTCGAGAAGGGCTACATCCCGCCGAACCATGACTTCCAGGTTGGGAACCCGGGCATCCTCTTCAACGAGTGGAGGCTGCGCGTCCCGGTAAAGCTGGAGCCGTGGCCCGCAGGTCTCCCTCGTCGCGCCTCGATCAGCAACTTTGGTTATGGCGGCACCAACGCCCACGTCATCATGGAGGACCCGAAGTGCTACCTCTCCCGAAAGGACACGGAAGAGACATCCAACGGTTCCTCCTCGTCCCTTCAGCGCTTTGTATTCCCCGTCAGCGCGAGGGACGAAACAGCCGCCAAGACCGCCATCTGCAACCTCAAGGAGTTCCTCCAGTCGAAGACGGAGGGAGAAGAGGTGAAGCTCGACAACCTCGCCTACACGCTGGGTCAGAAGAGGGCACTGTTCCCGTGGCGAGCCGCTACCCAAGCATCGACGGTGGCCGAACTGATCGACAACCTCGGGGACAGCGGCCTCCCGCCGACGCTCGCCAAGGACCTTCCGCGCCTCGGCTTCGTGTTCAACGGACAGGGCGCCCAGTGGTTTGCCATGGGACGCGAGCTCATGGGCGCCTACCCGGTGTTCGAACAGACCATCCGCGAGGCAGAACTCCAGCTTTACTCCCTAGGTTGCGAGTGGTCGTTGATCGACGAGCTGAAGAGGGACGAGGCGAGCTCCAGGGTCAACGAGACCCAGTTGGCCATGCCGCTCTCCGTGGCCATCCAGATTGCTCTGGTCCGGCTTCTCGGGTCGTGGGGCGTCAAGCCTACCGCCGTCACGGGTCACTCGTCCGGTGAGATCTCGGCCGCTTTCGCCGCCGGCGCATTGTCCCTCCGTGCCGCGATGGCGACGGCGTTCTTCCGCGGCTCGATCACGGACAAGTATTTGGTCCAGGATAAGACCACGTCCGGGTCGATGATGGCTGTTGGTCTTGGTCCCCAGTCTGTCGAGCCCTATCTCGACCAGGTCACGGAGGGCAAGGTCGTCATCGCCTGTGTCAACAGCCCCTCGAGCGTGACCTTGTCCGGAGACACGACGGGCATCACCGAGCTCGAGGCCAGGCTGAAGGACGAGGGTGTCTTCGCCCGCAAGCTGCAGGTTCCCGCTGCGTATCACTCTCACCATATGGCTCGTCTTGCCGCGAAATACCAGGCCGCCCTTGAACCCCACGTCCTTCCGAGTGCGAGCTTTGACGGCGTTTTGTTCTCGTCTCCTGTCACCGGCGGGTGGGTCGAGAAGCCTGAAGAGCTCGGCCCGGCTCACTGGGTCAAGAACATGGTCCAGCCCGTCCTGTTCGCCGACTCGTTCTACAACATGTGCGTCGGGGACACTAACACAGAGGAACATGAAGCCGACAAGTCGAAGAACATCGACATGATTGTCGAGATTGGCCCTCATGGCGCCCTTGCCGGTCCCATCAGACAAAGCCTGACCACGGTGGAAGCGCTCAAGGGTAAAGGCTTGGGCTACGTGTCGTGTCTGAACCGCGGCACCGATGCCGTCCAAACAATGCAAGATCTCGTCGTCAACCTGCTGGGCAAAGGCTACCCCGTCGACCTCGGCAAGGTGAACTTCCCCCTACCCACCGAGGGACTCGAGGTCGTTGCTCAGCTCCCCTCGTACCCCTGGAACCACTCGACCAAGTTCTGGATGGAGTCCCGGAAGAACAGGGACTACCGCCATCGCAAGCACGCTCCCCATGATCTCCTGGGCACTCTTATTCCGGGAAGCAACCTGTTGTCTCCGACGTGGAGGAACATGATCCGCCCAGCTGAGATTCCGTGGGTTCGTGACCATATCGTCGACAACGAGATCGTCTACCCAGGCGCAGGCCAAATCGCCATGGCCATCGAGGCAGTCCGGCAACTCTTTGTCGATAAGGATGTCCCCATCGTCGGGTATACCCTCCGAGACATTGAGATCATGAGAGCTCTCATCATCCCGGATACCATTTTCGGTGCCGAGGTCCATCTGAATCTCACCGTCCCTGATGACAGGTCGCTGTCACGAGACTGGCGCGAATTCCACATCTACACGTACAGCGGCACTTCGGGGGCAGACGAGGCGGGAGACTGGGTCGAGTGCTGCAAGGGTCTCATCTCCGTTGTCACGCCCACTCCCAACGGCCACACGTCGGACTGGCGCCGCGTGTATCCCGAGACGAAGGCGATCAACTTCGACACCAAGTCCGGGGCGTACAGCCGGGCCATCGAGGTCAGCGACTTCTACGACGGCCTCTACGCCATCAACATCAAGCACGGCGAGGCCTTCCAGAACCTAGACGCCATCCGCAGCGGAAACGCCCAGTCCGTCACGGCGTTCCACGTTGCCGACACGGCGGCCATCATGCCGTCGGGTGTGCAGAGCAGCCACGTCATCCATCCCATCACGCTCGATCAGCTCTTCCAGGCCGCTTACACGGCCGTCTCGCCGCACGTCCAGGCCACCATGGGCGCCGCCATCCCCCGCTCGATCAAGAAGATGTTCGTGGCGTCGGATATCAGCAGCCAGGCCGGACACGAGTTCCACAACTTTGCCAAGATCCACTACGCGAGCGCTCAGGGGTTCGACGTGTCCATGGCCCTCGCGAACAAGGACGAGCGGGGCGGCGCGCCTCCCGTGCTGGAGATCGGGCAGATGCACTACCAGTCGCTCGGAAACGTCGCCGCGAAGGACGATTCGGACCAGACCAAGCTCTGCTTGAAGTCCAACTGGGTCCACGACCTGTCCGTCGTGAAGAGGGATACCTACAAGAAGTCCGTCAAAGGACTGATGAGCCCTCGCGAAACCACCTTGGTCGAGGACCTTAAGCGGGCTACCGTCTATATCATCAACGACGTCCTCGAAGAGCTCACGGAGGAGGACATTGAGAAATTGGACTGGCACTACAAGATCTTCCTGGACTGGTTGCAGTATCAGCAGGAACTGGCATCGACAGACCAGATCGCGCCCATGAGCTCGAAATGGTCCCAGGCCACCGAAGGAGCAAAGCAGCGGCTCTGGGATCAAGTCAGCGCGGCCTCGGTCAACGGAGAGATGTTGGTCCGCATTGGCAACAACCTCCTCGGCATTCTGCGAAAGGAGGTCACCCCCCTGGAGCTCATGATGGAAGAGAACCTCCTCTACAAATACTACGAGAACGCCCTCCGCGTCGAACGCTCCCTCGAACAGGTCCAGAAACTCGTCAAGACCTTCTCGTACGCCTACCCCCGGGCCAAGGTCCTCGAGATCGGCGGCGGCACCGGCGCCTGCACCGGCCCCGCCCTGCGCGCCATGAGCGACGACGAGTCCGGCGCGAACCCCCACTTTGCGCGCTACGACTTCACCGACATCTCGTCCGGCTTCTTCGAGACGGCGCGCAAGACCTTCGCGGCCTGGGAGCACCTGATGACGTTCAACAAGCTCAACGTCGAGGACAGCGCCGAAGAGCAGGGCTTCGAGCTCGGGAGCTACGACCTGATCATCGCCTGCCAGGTGCTCCACGCCACGCGCGACATGGACCACACCATGGCCAACGTGCACAAGCTGCTGAAGCCCGGCGGCAAGCTGGTCATGGTGGAGACGACGCAGGATGCCATGGACGTGCAGCTCGTGTTCGGCACGCTGCCTGGCTGGTGGCTCAGCAAGGAGCCCGAGAGGAAGTACAGCCCCAATATGCCCCTCGACATGTGGAAGGGTGTCCTCTCCCGCACGGGATTCTCCGGCGTGGATATTGCGATTCGCGACAGCGAAGACGACCGCAACTATGCCATGAGCGTCATCATGTCGACTGCCTTGCCGGACCATCCTAGCGACTATGCCCAGCAGGTCGTCCTCGCCTATGCCCCACACGTATCCCCTCCCCCCGAAAGCTGGCTCTCTGGTCTTCAGCGATCCATCGAGGGGGGGACAGGGGCCCATGTGTCCATGGAAAGCCTCGACAAGCTCAACCCCGCCGGGCAAGTGGTCGTCTTCGTTTCGGAAATCGAGTCTCCCGTCCTGGATGGCATCTATGGTGCTGGCTTTGCGTCGATCCAGCGTCTTCTCACCGAGGCCAAGGGTGTCTTCTGGATCACCCGCGGCGCTACCATCGACTGCCCGAATCCCGATCTGGCCCTCCACACAGGTCTATTGCGTACTCGTCGTCTCGAGGACAACTCGAAGCGATATATTGCTCTCGACCTCGACCCCCAGGACGCGGACGCCGTCTGGTCCGATTCCTCCATCGAGACCATCTCCGAGGTTTTCGCCAGGACATTCGACTATGCGACGGAGAAGAACACGCTCGACTTTGAATACGCCGTCCGCGGAGGTGATCTCTTGGTCCCGAGGATCAGCGAGGACTCCAAGGAGAACAACGAGACGCGCGCCGACGACACGACCAACATGGAGCCCGAGATGCAGGAATTCCTGCAGCCAGGCCGCGAGCTCCGCATGGGCGTTGAGACACCAGGTCTCCTCGACAGCCTCATGTTCAAGGACGACCCCGAAGCCGGCAAGCCCCTCGAGGAAGACTTTGTCGAGATCGAAGCCAAGGCTTTCGGCCTCAACTTCCGCGACATCATGGTCTCGATGGGCCAGCTGCAGGAGAAGATCGTGGGCTTCGAGTGCAGCGGCATCGTTACCCGCGTCGGTCCTCCTTCGGCCAACAACGCCCAGCAGCAGCACAGCTTCAAAGTCGGCGACCGTGTGTGCGCGTTGACGACGCGGGGCCACTGGGCCAACAGGATCCGCATCCACTACACGGGCGTCGGTACGATCCCGGACCACATGTCGTTCGAGGCGGCGGCGTCCATCCCCATGGTCTTCGTGACGGCGTACTACAGCCTGTTCGAGAAGGCGCGGCTCGAAAGGGGGGACACGGTGCTCATCCACGCCGCATCGGGCGGCGTGGGACAGGCGGCCATCATCCTGGCCAAGTGGGCCGGCGCCGAGGTCTTCGCCACCGTGGGCGCGCCGGAGAAGCGCGCGTTCGTGCGCGACACGTACGGCATTCCGGACGACCATATTTTCTCCTCGCGCGACGTGTCGTTTGCCGCCGACGTGCTGGCGACCACCGGCGGCCGCGGCGTCGACGTCCTGCTGAACTCCCTGGCGGGCGAGATGTTGCAGGAGTCGTGGAACGTCATGGCCACGCTGGGCCGGTTCGTGGAGATTGGCAAGCGCGACATCCAGACGCGGAAGCGGCTGGAGATGGAGCCGTTCGGCCGCGCCATCTCCTTCATGGCCGTCGACCTGATCCAGCTCGGCAACTTCCAGGGCAAGACCATGCACCGCGTCATGGGCGAGTGTCTGGACCTGCTCGAGGCCAAGACCATCCAACCCATCCAGCCGGTCACCGTGTACCCCATCTCGGAGATCCAGCGTGCTTTCCGCACCATGCAGGCGGGCAAGCATCTCGGCAAGATCGTCGTCAAGCCGAACCCGGGGGATCTCGTCAAGGTGTTGTCGCAGAGGCAGGCGGTCAAGCTGAACCCGGAGGCTTCGTACCTGCTCGTCGGCGGGCTGGGCGGCATCGGTCGGTCTATCGCCCAGTGGCTGGTCGCGCGGGGTGCGAAGAACCTCATCTTGGTGTCCCGTTCAGCGGCGTCCCAGAGCAACTCGCAGGCCTTTGTGAAGGAGCTGCAAGCCGCGGGTTGCAACACGGTCATCAAGAATTGCGACATTGCGGATGCCAGTGATCTGCGCCGCGTTATCGATGAGTGTTACGCCGAAGTGCCCGCTGTTAAGGGTGTCATCCAGGCGGCCATGGTTCTCAATGTAAGTGAAACAAGTGATTGATCCTGATTCCTCCCCGGTTTCGCTTCCCCAAGTCACTAACACACACGCCAGGACTCCGTCTTCGAACACATGGAATACAAACAATGGGTCAACGCCACCCGTCCCAAGGTGCTGGGCACGCGCAACCTCCACGACCAGTTTGGCGACTCCCTGGACTTCTTCGTCATGCTCTCCTCCGCCACCGGCGTGCTCGGAAACACCTCCCAGGCCAACTACGCCGCAGGAGGCACGTTCCAAGACGCCTTCGCACGGTTCCGCACCTCGCAAGGCCTCCCCGCCGTGTCCATCGACCTGGGAATGGTCAAGTCGGTCGGCTACGTGGCCGAGACCAAGGGCGTCGCGGAACGTCTCGCAAAGATCGGCTACAGGCCGTTGGAGGAGGACGAAGTGCTGCGGATCATCGAATCGGCGGTGCGGACGCCCCTGCGCCAGCAGCAGGCGGAGGCGGGGCGCCACAGCCAGGTCATCACGGGCTTGGCGCAGTACGAGAGCGTCGACGACATTGTGTGGCGCGAAGAGCTGCGGTTCTCGGGTCTCCGGCGTCTTCGCGGCTCCCATGCCAATGCCGATGGCGAGGCGGCAGGGAAGAGAAAGTCGGGCGATAACAGCTTCGGAACCGTCCTCTCCAAGGCGGAGTCCATGACGGAGGCTGTTGGGCACGTTGCCGGTGCTATCGTGGCCAAGCTGTCGGAGATGTTCATGTATGCCGCCTCGGACATTGATACGAACCAGGGCCTTGGCAAGTACGGAGTGGACTCGCTGGTGGCAGTTGAGTTGAGGAATTGGCTTGTCAGCAGGATGCAGACGGAGGTTTCCATCTTTGATATCTTGCAGAGCTCGTCGTTGATGGTGTTGGCGGAGAAGGCGGCGGCGGCGAGTAAGTATGTGATCAAGGCTGGGCTGGTGGCGGCGGTTTAAGGGGCTTTTGTTTTCTTTCTTTCGATTCGTTCTTGTTATCTGTATTCTGCTAAGAGGTTCCTTTGCCATTGTGAACAATACGCTGCTGAATTAAAGTCATTTGCATCAAACGTGGAGACGGTGCTCCATGGTATCCGGCCGCACAACACCAAACATGCGCTGCCCCAGTCCCTGCTCTGAACCAACAAACGCCAGCCAATATCGACGACCGTCAAGTGACTACTCGAATGTACAATCTGGTAGTCTACCAGCTTAGAACGTTGAAGATGGATTTTCGCGGATCTGGGGCGCCTTCAAAGACGCGAGCCCGGGTGGCTTCCCTCTCGGGGGTGTGGGATCGGGCGAAGTAGCGATCCAGAGTAGTTGATTGCTGTTTGAGCTGTGACCGAACGAAGCTTCCCACCGCGGTTGCTGTGTATCTGGTGTCAGTCTGGTCTGGATTGTGTGGTGGTCTTGTAGTTGTCTGGTGATGGAAAAGGGCGGAAAAGGGGGAATAAAAAGGGGGAATAAAAAGGGGGGAATAAAAAGGGGGAAGGAAAAGGGGAACAAGAAAAAAAGCTGACTAACCTGCTCCGACCATCATAAGAGTGGGAAGAACCCTTGTATTTATTAGTCTTGTTATGATTCTCATCTGGTTTCTTCCAGAATAAAGGCTGAGTTTGGCTCTTACCTCGTTGTCATGACCGAGGACGTAACGGCCTTTGTAGCTGCTCGAGCGACCATTTTGGTGTGAATATGTCTGAGTGTGGAATAGAGTGAGATGAGAGTGAGTGGCGGATGAGTGGCGGATGAACCCGATCAGTTACTCCGTATGAGAGACGGGACGAAGGTGAAAATGGGGATGACTAATCGTCCTGAAGTGGACTCAAGTCGCGGGTGTGGTGTCGTGGTATAAGTTGGTTGTATCTAATGAGTGTAACATACCAGGCAGATCATCATTTATATCTTCATTCTCAAGTTTAAGAAATTCCATCGCTTTATAGAGTATATGATTTATGTGTCTAATATAGGGCGAGTGTTGTTCGAATATTGCATAGTCTAGTGGGAAAATCGGCCGACGAGGCTTCTATACGGCAAATCACAGGGGGCACTATAACAACTTCTAAAAATAGTAACAAAAGGCTTCTAGGTCCACGCCAATAGTAGAAATAGCTCTACCTAATAATAGCATATATAATAATAATTACATAGGTATATAAACATTCCCTTAATAGTAGTTAAGTAAATAGGGCGTATAAAATTATTCCACTATATAGCTCTATATAATCTTACGTAATATTATAAACCTATTCGCACTTATAAAGGTATTTATATATACTTACGTAACTATAGCTAGCTCTACGTAATAAATAATAATAACGGCTAGTAATAACTCTATTTACCTTCTTTTAAAAATCGATTATATAGTAGTATTCACGAATAACTATTATAACTTAGCGGCTTACCCTATTTACGATAAGCCTCGACCTAGTTCTACACAGTTAAAGCGCGAAACCTCACCTACCTAGTCGGATTTATCTATAATCGACCTTACGGATATAACACCGCCGCGTAAACGAAAGGAAAAAGATATCCCGCTACTAACCGCACTTTAAATTCCGGGTACGGAAGCCCGCGCTCTGGTTTACGTACTCCGGCACGGCGAAACGGAGCGTAAAAGAAGCATCGCGCAGATAAGAAAAGAGAAAGCGAAAAATCCTATAAAAGAAATCAGTATCACCCTATATAGTTATAAGTATAACGGATTAACTATTAGAGGCGTACCCTTCCGCGAGATTAAATCTATCGCTAGGTAAAAGGTTATAGGCCGAGTTATAATTCTACTTAACCTTCCTTATCCTATGTCTTAGTATTTAGTTCGGTATAGTATTTCCTAGTTTAATACGTAATTAGTATAGTTTAAGTAAGACCTTATAGTCTACCCTTATAATGAATAGAATTAGAAAAAGCTTATAGACTACCGTAATAGAATATATAAGACTATAACGTTACGCGTACTGTTATATAAAGCCGACTTCGACCTTTTAAAAGACTACTATCTTAGTTTTCTTCGTGTAACGTAAATTAAAACTAAGGCACCTAATCTAAATATTTCACGTAAACGACTAGGCCGAAAAGCTACTACGTAAAGTAATATAGTTATAGATAGAGATATACCTAGTACTATAAAGAAAGAAATTATCGTTAAACCCCGCGCAGAATTAGAAAATAAGAAAATAGTTAGAAAAATACCCACGCTTCCGTAGACGTAGGTGAAAAAGGAGGATAAAAACGACTCTAATATACAAAAGGAGGAAATAAGCGAGGGTAATATAAAGACGGAAATACCTAAGGATAAAAAGCCTTATATAAATCAAAAGGTTATTATACCTCCTTTAACGATAGGGCTTTAAGACCGTACAGGTCCGTCTATTATAGGATAAAAGCGTATAATTTCGAAAGTCAACGGACAGGAAGATCAGGATAAAGAATAAAAAAGATAAGTAAATACTATTCGCTATAATCGCTAAGTTGAATATCGCGCTCTAAATCCTTTTCGTCTATCCCTATAATAGTCTTATCCATAACTATACCCTCTTCCTTAAAGAGGTCCTTAATCAAAGTAATCCGGCCTTACGGCGTAGAAAGCAGCTTAAGTTATAAATCCGTATAACTATTCGTATATAAAGTTAGACCTTTCCGTATATACTTATATAACAGTAAAGCAGGGTATTCACGATCTTATATAAGTAAGCTTACTAGAAGGTTAGTAGTAGTATCCGCGATACCTTTATAAATCTATATTACCGTATTAGGAAGATATACTTCTATATCCGTAAGCTTATTAGCGAGAATCTTTTCCACTATATAAAGTCGTATACTATTAATCCGCACTTAATAATTCGGCGAGGTATAGTTATATAATATAAAAGGCTTACCAGTTATAATATACGGCCGAGATTTCTGCGGGCGAATAGTATAGGCGTTATAGACTTATATAAAGCGGGCGAAGTCTACGCGAAGAAGAGGCATATAAACGTAGAGCAGCGTAATCCTGTTAATAATTAAGCGGCCGTCGAAAAGTTCGTGTTTAGAAAAATAAATAAAAAACTCCTATATTTTATTTAGTATAAGGATATATATAAATAGCCGATATTATACTTACCCGCTAAAATACCGAATAAGACTAGCAAAGTCTATTCCACCACGATTTAATCCGTTAGTTATAAATACTTTTCCTAAATATCTAATAGTCTTTAAATTCAATTGGAACCTCTTTACTAAGTGCGTTCTTCTTTATATAGAAACCTCGAGAAATGTACTAATAAATACTAGCCGTAAGTGTTATTTTCTTTCCGCGATCTAATCGTATATATCTAGGCATAAAGCCAAGTTATCGTATAACTCTAATATATTACGTGAGAATATTTCGAGACGTATAGGCTAACACACTAACGTAAAACTAAGTTATAAAACGGGAATAAGCATTAATTCCGGTATAGATCTCGAAGCTAAAGGGAAGCAGTTTATCGTACGCGTCTATAGACTAAATAAAATTAAGTCCCGGCGTTATCTATCCCTTTCTACGGTAGCGTATCTCCTTATATCGCGTAGTAACCTCCTTAGGAAATAGCTCTAAGTATATACGATATAGCGCCCGAGTACTAATAATAAAGCCTTATTAACGTATAAAAGTATAAAACTACATCTTACTAAGCCCTTATATAAAAGATACGTCCATATCTACTTTTTCAAAAAACGCCTTAATACGCTCTTATTCGGCTACGATTTAGTCCGTGTCTTATCGTCTCTAAAGGCGATAATCGCATCGGATCCGTTTAAGACCGGTTTATAATATCTAAAAGCCCTCGGCGCGTAATTAATATAGTATATAGCTATCATATAACACATTATAAAAAACCTCATATATACATCGAATAAGTGCGTCGCTTAAGACCGTACAATGCTCTCTCCAAAAGCCCTATACCTTATAGCGGCGCTAAAGAGTTTAGCGATAAATTATTAATCCAGTTTATTCCTATATAAAGCCGTATAGTACCTTATTAGTCTAACCCTCTTTAAGGCGGTAAGAAGTTTCCTCGCGTAAAGGCTTTAGGTCGATTTGTTTTCCCCGTATAATTACGTAGTGTCGTATAACTACGCGTAAAGCTATATAGTTACGAGTATTAAAGGTGAAGACTATTAGATAAGAGTAAAGAAGAGTTAGTTACGGTAAAGACGATACGTGGCCGTATAGTCCTTTACGGTAGCGAAAATAATATCTTTTATTCGGAGTTAGAAAGGAAAATATATATTATATATAATAAGTAGCCTTAGCGTATATATACTATATATACCTAATTATAAAAATACTATAGCGTAAAGTATTTAAATTAATATATACTATAACTATTATAAATATTATTTACTTTATAAATAAATACTTAGTATTATAAGTTACTATTGTAGTATATAGTCTATTATTTTATTAGATAATAATAGCTATATATATTATATTAAAATATAGAATTAAACTTTTAAATACTAATACTAGGTTATAATAAACTAGATTGAATAAAAGACTTATACACTATATAAAACTAATATCTTACTTTATAAGCTAAGTACCTATTATATTCGCTAGATACTAATAATACAGTAATATATATATTAAGTTTTATATTACAAAGAGAATTACTAAGATATATATATATATATATACTATAAGCTAATAACTATTACTATATATATCTAATCGCTAGATATTCTATTGAAAGGATATCTAAATTACTATCGTTTAGTATATATAAAGCAGATATATATATATATATATATAAGTAGATTTTTTTCCTTTATTATACTAATAGATATATACTTCTATAACTATATAGCGAGCTATATATATAATTAAATATACTTATTCACGTTTATATATCTTATATTATACGTGGTTTATATATAAGCTTTATATTCGTTGTTTTCTACTACGATTTTACTTTTACTATATATTATCTATCCAATTAGGCCTATATAGTATATATATATAGTAAGAAATTAACTAAATATACTATCTCTAATAACTTAACTAGGAAGATAATTAAAATTCTAAAGACAGTCTAAACTAATATCGACTAAGGGGTTTAGAGTCGTTTATTTAAGATAATAGGTTAACTAATAAGGTTAAGAATTATTATTAATATAATAGCCCTATTCTCGAATAGTCTTTTCGCTTTCTATCTAAATATAACGCCTACTTAACTCTTCTAACCGTTTATAAGGAGGTTATATAGGTAGTATAACTTATATCCATAAGCAGATAAGCCTATATAACTAAGACTAAAAGTAGTTTAAATAAGTATAGTATCTATAGAACTATTATTAGTATAAGATAAAGGCTATATCTATATAGTTTATAGACTCTATTACTCCTAAAAGAAATACCGTTTCTTATACTAATAAGACTTATAGAATATATACGGCTAATAAGGCTAATACTACTAGCTATATACTAAGATCTACTAAAATCTTCTAGAACTATTACTTATAGTCTTTTCAAGGCTGTATATATATTAAAAAGCTATCGGATAGATAGATTAGTATCTAAGCGTTATTATTATAGTATAACATACCTTTAAGAATCTAGAGATATAGATAAATACCTTTTAGAAGACTATAACCTTCTTGACTATTAGCTAGATCTATATACTTAAAAGAAGGCTTAATATTAGGAGATTAATACCGGCTACTTTTATTATAAAACCAAAGTATTATATAGATAGCATAGCTAGTTAATAATCAGCAAAGAACTATCGAATATAGCGTAGTTAAGATCGTTAAGATAGGTTAAATTACACACTTTTAATTACGTAAATTAATTAACTCTCTTAGTTACTTCTTAAGATAATTATTCGACCGTAAAAGAACCGGTGCTATAGTATAATCTATAGCCAAAACTCTATAGGTATCCTTCTAATATCGGGGGACAGACATAGGGTTTCTAGTATATAATCTTAAAGCCTTCGGTCTATTTAATAAGAGGTTCTATATAGCTATATTACCTACTTTTAATATTAATAAGTATAATATATAAGCCTTATTAGTACCCATATAAACGTAAAGCGGATATAATAGTAGCTATAAAAGGATAACTATAATAATAAACTAAGTAACTATTTATAGTCGCTAACTAATTATAATATATTAAAAGCAAGATAGTATTATTATATATATATATTAAGGGCTACTACGCATATATACTAGAAGAATACTCTATAAAAGCCTACTAGTCTCTATCCTCTAAATAAGCTAATTTAGAATAATATCTAGAACGTATAATATATAGGTTATAGATACGGTACTGAGTATAATATATATAATAGTATTAGCAAAAGACTCTAAGCAGCTATAGCTAGGTTAGTAGCAGATAATATTATCGACTACTCTTTTTAAAGGTCGGCTATTCTTAATCTTCGTATTACTATTTATACTTTAATAATTATATATATTTTACTAACTATAGGCCTATATCGCGTAGTGACTATAGGGTTATAGAGAATATAACTCTAGTTATTTAAGCTTATAGTAAGTACTATTATATATATATATATATATATATATATATTATCGACTGGTTTGATTTTAAGCTCTTTAATATTACCCACTATAAAGACTTTACTTATAATCTTACTTTAAATTAACGCTTTTAGAATACGGCCCATTACTAGGATTTACGACTACCTAATAACTATTTATAGTATATAATAGACTGCTTCTATATAAGCGAGTCGAATAATATAATTAAATTGTTCTTAAATATATACTACCTAATAATATAAATACAATATTACTTTTCTAAGTTCGTATATCTATAGTATAACCTAGCCTATTAGTAATACTACGAGTACTTATAGTATATTATAAGATAAAATTAATAACTATAAATTATAATAGTTATATATACTATAATTATCTAATATATTAGTATAAGGCCATATATATACGTATACAGAGCTTTTATTATGATTTAAATAGTAATTTAGATATTAACTACTTATTTTAAAACGTAGTAATAACTTAATATAATTAGGTAAAAGCTATATATTATTAATAGGGCGTAGTATCTAATTAGACTCTATTTAGCATAGATTTCTACCTTAAATAAGTGCACTAAATAATATAACGAT